GTGTGTGTGTGCGTGTCCAAGCTGGTGTACTTGAAACCGCTCCTTTCTTACTCTACCATTTAAGAAAAAATTTCTTTTGTACATGTGTTTGTTTGTGTGTATTTGTTAATTTTTTGGTGACATCATTTGTTTGTGTCTCCGTTCGTTTGTTTGTTTGTTTGTTGATTTATTCATTCATTTGTTTTAATAGTTATTTAAATTTGGACATAATATTTGGAAAAAAATTTGATGTTTATCGAATATGCTGATTACCTAACAATAGAACGTTTTCAATGTCTATCACGCAGTTAAAAATTGTTCTCACATCGTCAATGCTGTCGTTCAATCAACAGTCTATTAAAGAATGTTCGAAAATAATTCACATTTTTACTTGTTTCAATTAATTTCGACAAATTTCAACTTGAATTCGAGTGAATTTCAAGCTATAATTGCACTTGCTCGGCTCGGCTCGCAATCGAACCCTCTACGAGAAGGTCTACAGAAAACGGTCGGCACTAATATGTTGATGTTTTCGATATATAGTATCATGATTCGACTGAATTGTTATCATTACTTGTGTATCACCGAACACACAGTATAGCACGATTTTTTAATGTGACGCTGATATAGTAATGAAATTAATAATAGCAATAGTAAAAAGGTCAGTAGCCATGCAGTAATTATACTTATTCAACGAGTTCGTATAATTACACCTACTTACATTACTTATACTTGCACGCACACGCACGCGCACATACACACATACATAAGCACGTACATGATGATCGTACGATCAAACAACATATGGGAGGAAGTTTTTTAAATTTTATTAAATCACTTTGTTTTTCAAAACAACGGCATGAGAATTATTGAAACGGGATTGGTAATTCGGAACGAAATCGTTGTAGTAAATGACGTCATTTTAAAAGTAGCTTCACAGTACGTTAGTGAATTAGCCGGAATAAACATTGTATTCGATTCCTATAAATAGATAGATATGTGTAGTTATTATATATATATATATATATATATTTATACATTTAAATTTTACAATTAAAGTGAAGTAAGGTGTGTGAAGTCAAATTATTTTGAATTCACTCGGAATAATTTTATTTGAACCGCGCGCGTACATACATATGTACATACACATGTAACATTGATTTCTGTTGGTTTTAGAAGGAAGCTATATAATAAATATATATTAAGAATTTAGAATTTATGTATACAAATAATTACTAAGAGTATATGTTTACATAAAAAGAAATACAGCAGTTCCAACCAGTCAACCAATCAGAATGTTTCGAAGTTTGAGTAGCTCTGTTGTCGAGAATGTATATTAGTGTATTACATAAAATCAAAAATCAATAACATTGAATCAATAAAATTTTTACAGATGTTAATGATTGAATTGATTGTAAGTATAATATATTAAAAAAAATGAAGTAAAGAAAAACATAATTTTATTTTTATGTGAAAAAGGAGTGATCTCGATTAAATTTGAGTTCAACTAGCTAAACTTATACACATACTCAAACCTTCCCAACAGGAAGTCCGTAGGCGATCGTTGAATTCATTTTAGTAGCCTATAGCTAATATATTGTTGTTAAACACTTATAATAATGTTTCATATACATTAAATCAAGTTTTTTAATGATGTCAATGATTGAAATGATAAGAATATATGAATGGAACTGGTATAAATAGGAGCCGAAAATGCGTTGAAATCCGACCGGGCGCTTTAGGGCATTCCCTTAGCGTCTGGTCCCTTTTTATCTTTCTTTTAGTTAAGTTATTTATTATGTTTAGACGTGTTCGTTACTTATTATTACTAGATTTATTCGTTTATTTTATTCGTTACTTATTATTTCTAGATTTGTTCGTTTATTTCGTTGTTATCATTGCGCAGTCATACAAAAATACACACATACATACATACACACACACATTCGTTGTTTTATTTGCTTGATGTTTTATCCTCTTTTCTTTACTTTTTTCTTCGTAATTGTACAAATAGGTAGGATTAATTCGTAAGTTGAGCTAATTGAACATAGGTAGGTGAGTTAATTTAGTGAACATAGGTAAGTTAGGGACTATTCTTTCTTTCTTACGTTCTAGTTTATTTGTATTGTATTGTTTTGTTTGTTTTTTGTTCAACACAACACCAACAACAGCAATTAAACAACAATCAACACATTATTATTTTTGATATATTTTAGTTAAGTTGATTTAAGTTGTTTATTATTACTAGACCGTTCGTTACTTATTATTTCTAGATTTATTCGTTTATTCTATTCGTTACTTATTAGTTCTAGATTTATTCTTTTATTTTATTCGTTACTTATTATTTCTAGATTTGTTCGTTTATTTTATTGTTATTATTGCGCGGTCATACATACACCCACACATACACACATACACACACACACACATACATACATACATACATATATTCGTTGTTTTGTTTGCTTGATGTTTTATTCTCTTTTCCTTACTTTTTTCTTCGTAATTGTACAAATAGGTAGGATTAATTCGTAAGTTGAGCTAATTGAACATAGGTAGGTGAGTTAATTTTGAACATAGGTAAGTTAAGGACTCTATTCTTTCTTTCTTACGTTCTAGTTTATTTGTATTATATTTTGTTCAACACAACATCAACAACAGCAATCAAACACAACAATCAACACAATATTATTTTCGTTATATTTTAGTTAAGTTGTATATTATTTCTAGACCTTCGTTACATATTATTTCTAGACTGTCGTTTTATTATTAACCCCCTCATGAACGGCTGCCTTGACGTGGCGTGGGGGCTTCTCACTAAATGCCGTTCAAATAAGTGCTTTTCCTTCTTCACTTGTTTTCTTAAAAATTCGATTTGTTTTTTGTTCAACACAACACCATCAACAGCAATCAAGAACAACAACACAATATTATTTTCCTTATATTTTAATTAAGTTTCGTTATTCTATTTTAGTTAAGTTGTATATTATTTCTAGACGTGTTCGTTACTTATTATTTCTAGATTTATTTGTTTATGTCATATAGTTTGTACACACAAACACACATACATACACATACACACACACACACATTTGTCGTTTTGTTTGCTTGATGTTTTATTTTTTCTTTACTTTTTCTTCTTTGTAATCGTACAGATAGGTATGATTAATTCGCAAGTTGAGCTAATTGAACATAGGTAGGTGAGTTAGTTTAGTGAAAATAGGCTATATATAAGTAAGCTCTATATATTTATAGTGTTATATACGGTTATATGGATTAACTTCAATTCAACTTTGTTTATAATCTTGATTTAAAAAACAATAAAATTATTTCCGCGACCTAGCAAAATTGACAAAAAGAAAAATATTAAAGGTAACCAGGAACGCCCAAAAGTGGCAGATTACATGGGCCACAGAATGCTTATACCAAAAAGTATTTTGTATGGTAAAAAGCAGTTTTTCAACATTCAATGCCTTTATTATTTGTCCAATGAGAGGTCCGCTATTTACAACTATGAACTTGAATGATGACAACCGCAGTGATCCAACAACTTTGCTCGATCAACAACTGGCACATCGTAAATAAATCATTTTTAATTTAACACAACGTATCATGTATTTCAATAATCATTTATGTTCAATTCATCATTATCAAAATCATCATGATATGTAGCATGACTTTTCTGTTGAATTGGTGTGACGAGTTGTCGAGTCGCCTGTGCTGATTTCTGTTCTCTGCTTGTTTGTTTATAAATTCGATTACATTTGATAATATAATTTATTGGTGATTTAGCATAATTCATTTTGATTCATCGTAAAATTGAAATAAATTGTTCATACGACAAATAACACCATTAATTACACTATTCAAAAATAAATTAAAAATTATCTTTTTATTTGAAATGGATAATTATTTATTAGCAATCTACAAAAATATAGAAAAAATTTTAGGAAAAATTTTATCTAGAACAATCGACGGCACTTTTGAGGTTTTCCAATTTTATTGCCACTAGTGATTGAAAAATGTAATCAACTTTTGAAGAGAAAAAATAGCTATACTCTCACCTGCAACATGGACATCTCGCTTTCCTGGAGTGCCCTCGCTAAGGCTTCGTCACCATCTCTTTGAAGTCGTTTGGCCTCCTCATCATCATTGTTAAGGTTGTTCGTCTGGGAAACCCTTTGATTGGAAAATTTAACCATCAAACTTATTTAAAAAAAACTATTATTTTTACACATACATAATGAGGAAAACGTCAATGGACAACACAATAAAGTCAATAACAAACGATAATGAAAATGAACTAAATCATAAATTAAAAACTACAAAATGTAAATTGTTAAAAAAAAAAGCTTTTATCATGTGATTGTATTATATTATTATTTATTTGATTAAAATAGCTAATAATAAGGCTGGAGTTTGTAAAAAAAATGATACCTCAAGTTATTACTTTCTTGCAAAGACAATTCAATAGCTCTATTCAATGCCTCATCTTCTCTCTGTTACAAATTTTCAATATAAGCAAGTTTAAAATTAATATACTTAGAAAATAATAATTTAAAATAAAACAATTTAGCAACTAAAAAAATTTAACCTGATGCAAAAAATTTTTTATAACATCATCAACAACAAAAACTATTGAAAAATTTAACATTAAAAACGAGTTACCAGTTCAGGCTGTTGTAGTGAATGTACATGTAATGCACTTATTCTCTTCTGCTGTTTCTGCTGTTGTGATGTTGATGGCGTGTTTGTCGTCGTTAATTTGAAAAACTCGCTGGCTCTGGTCAATGCAGAAGCTCTGAAGAAAAAATTTCAAACAGCCTTATTTATGATACAAATTTGAAATATCAATGATGACACAAAATCTTGACATTAATGAAAAAATGCCAAAACAATATTTTAACTTGTAATTAAAAAAACGATGAAAAGAATAAGGATAAGTAATAAGGATATAGAAAAAAGAAAACAATTTTTTGAACGTACCCTGCTTTTGAGATATTTTTTCCAGAAGCATGAAAACCTTTGCAACTGTGATCAATGTCAAGTCGGTGCTTTAAGCAAAAGTTCAGTTGGCACTTGTAACATTCGAATTTTATCATCTGATAATGATGAGGACGATGGTGTGATGACTACCAATGTGATGGGAGCAGTGATAATGAGAGGATGACAGCTTATTATAATGATGAAATGATATAATAATAATGTTACTATAAAAATTACAATTAATACCTCCTTCTGCTTGCAGCCTTTCACATTGCACCTGTTATTATACACCTTTGGAAGCAACAAAATGTTCGTATTTTTATTAAAACATTACATAACCAGTAAAACTATTTTTATAATATCAACTATAATAGACCTTATGAATCCTTTTAAAAACACAACAACCTTTTTTCTCTTCATCTCAGCAGCATCAGACTGACAATCATTGTCAATATGCCTGCCAACCACCTGATCAGCCGTCTCTCCTTTCTCAAATTTTACTGGCACAGCCTTGCTACACAGGGGACACATTGGAATCTGATTGTCCTGATTAAAGGTAGGAGAACATTTGATTAAATGATGATTATTAACTATAATGTTTAAATGTAGTTAGTAAATGTAGAAGCATTTAAATTAAAACAAAGTGATATCTAGCAATAACAACAAATCATACAAATGGAATTGCTGATTTTATTGAGGTGAATGATATTTATGATAGATTGTGAAATAATAATAAAGAATATAAAAAAAGAGATATAATTAATTAAAATCTTACTCGGAGGTGTCTGTTTGGACAGCTATGATGAACATATGAATAATGATCCTTGCTTTAAATTAAAAAACAATTGAGTAATATTATTAATTAATAACATTAACATTTGGTTTTGTAAATTAATAAAACATGTTAATTAAATGGATTTTGCAAATAAAATAAATATGAATCTATGAAAAAACACAATAAAATCAATCACTAACATAAAAAATATCTAACCAGAATATATTCTGACATGCATCACATTTCACAGGCAAAAAATCTGTAGCAAGTAGCAAAACAAGTAAGTATTTAAAAAATGTTGAACCCTCTATTAAAATAAATTTAATTTAAATTTTAATGACAATGATGATGGCATAAAATAAATATAATATACCTGTAGAATAGAATAGGTAATAATAATAGAAAACTTACACTACACTACACTAGAGTGATTGGATTTATTTAAGACAAAATTTTACATTGGTTAAAGTTACATTAAAAATTTTAAATAAGATGGAATCGCAAAGTTACCTAGTTTATTGCATTGCCAAAATGAACAATTTTTTCCCAAATTAGGCAGCTCCATTTTCCAGATTTTTAGGACAAAATGTTTTGTTAATCGCTTGTTAGTTAGAAGAGCTCTGACTGGTTGAATTAATAATTAATTAACTTAATTTATTTAATAAAGTTTATAAAATTGTGTTGTGTTTCTCATTTTCTGTCTAAAAAAATAAAAGAAAAGCGTTTTAAATAAAATATGACTTATATTTATTTATGAAAGGTGACAAGCATTTTTCATTACGAACAACACCCAAGAGAGAGATGAACTTGTGTGAACCTGAAGGCAACAAACGTTCGTTAACAGTTTAACTAACGTTCCCTAACCCTAACTAACCCTAACACTAACCAACCTAAAATTTATACTAAACATCATTTTAAAGTTTAAACTTAAAATTATTTTTTTAATAATAAAATTTAATTTACAATACTTTTCATTTTTCCGAATTAGCTCAAATAAAAACCGAACGTTAGCTAACAAACGTTTGTTAGCTTTTACAGGAGATGACTAGACAATTTGAAAAATTAATAAAATGATTATAATTTTATTAAGTATTGCGTAGTATGTACCTATCTGTCGAATATATGGTTCTACTCCCAATATCAAAATAAATAATAATAAATTAATATAAATAAGGTTGGTATTTAAATTTAAATAAAATCGGAACTATTTATACTTATTAGTACGACGAAGACCAACAACAACATTGACTGACTACATTGAGTAATTTTATGCCATATCATAGCATAGCACAGCACAAACAGTATCTTATTGAACAAAGTAGTATCATAAAATGAATAAAGATACTTTTCAAAAATTTAAAAAATTCACAATTTGATTTCATTGCGATATCGATGATGATGTTTGTGACCTGACTAATTAAAAAACATCAAAAAAAATTTATTAAATAGGATGGGTAATTCGTTGCGAAGTCGTTGGAGGAAATGACGTCATGTTAACAGTAGTTATTTTACTGCATGGTAGTTAATCAGCCGGTATAAAAGTTATTTCAATTCCTATCACATAAATTTGACCAAATATCATAGGCAGGCAGAACTAAATAAAGAAATAGATAGATAGATCGATATATTTACGTAGTTATAATGCATTCATAATGTTGTATTTACACATTCTAATTGTATACAATTGTGTTATGGAGTAGTCTCAATTTATTATGAATGCTTTCAGAAAAATTTAAACTTTTTACTATATACTAGTTACTTTTATTAATAATTTTTAAAAGATTTTCAATTTGATTTCATCGCGATGTCGATAATGATTTTTGTGACCTGACTGATTAATAAGCATCAAAGAAAATTTTTAAAATAGGATGGAGAACTTGTTATATTGGGATATTCATATATGAAGCGAGCAAAATTTTAATATAAAAGCGCTTATAAATCTACGCATATTGGCTCAGCTTGGCTCGGCTCGGCTTGGATGTTAAGCAAGGTGTGGTCTCTAACTATTTGGAATTCTCGCAGAAAAATTTTAACTGCGTGCGCACATATGTAGCACTGATTACTGTTGCATTTATAATGAATTTATATACTATATATATATAGAGCGAGCAAAATTTTTTACATAAAAGCGCTTATAAATCTACGCATTGGCTCAGCTCAGCTTGGCTTGGAATTGGCAAGGTGTGGTTTCAAACTATTTTGAATTCTCCTCGAAAAATTTGAACTGCGTGCGTACATATATAGCACTGACTACTGTTGCTTTGATAATTTATTTATATTTAACTGATGTGAATGATTGAAATAATAAAAATGTATGGTTGAAACGAGTATAAATAGGAGCTGAGACAACATGAAAATCAGATCAGGCATTCTGCCTCGCTTGAAGCAGTTTGTCTGATCTCATTTATTTTATTTTTATAATTTATTTATTTTTATTTGTTTTATTATATAGAATTATATAGAGCTATATAGAGTTATATAGAGTTATATAAAGTTTGCATGTCTGTGGTTTGTATGTTGTATTTTTTTTATATTTTAGGTAGGTTCTTTAGCGGTTGCTAATACATATATACATACATACATCATGTTTGTTTGTGGGGTAGTATTTTATGTTCTGTTTTACTCTTTTTTTCTTCCTACCTGAGTCTTGAGTTAAGCTAATGAAACATAGGTAGGTGAGATTAAAATTAATTTATTATATAGGTAGGCTAGGGCATAAGGTAATTTAGTTACATAGGTAGGTTAGGGACTTCTATTCTTTAACTCTACTTGGTGGTGTGTTTTTTGTTTTTTTTTTGTTTTGTTTCACACCATACATATAACAAGTACGCGGTGGTTCCTGGTTTTAGTGGAATTTTTTTTGATTGAATGTGGTAGTATGCATGGTTATATAGAGTTATATAGAGTTATATAGAGTTATATAGAGTTATATAGAGTTATATAGAGTTATATAGAGTTATATAGAGTTATATAGAGTTATATAGAGTTATATAGAGTTATATAGAGTTATATAGAGTTATATAGAGTTATATAGAGTTATATAGAGTTATATAGAGTTATATAGAGTTATATAGAGTTATATAGAGTTATATAGAGTTATATAGAGTTATATAGAGTTATATAGAGTTATATAGAGTTATATAGAGTTATATAGAGTTATATAGAGTTATATAGAGTTATATAGAGTTATATAGAGTTATATAGAGTTATATAGAGTTATATAGAGTTATATAGAGTTATATAGAGTTATATAGAGTTATATAGAGTT